TGGCAGGTTAACTTGTGGTTGTATTAGGATACATTTTTGCTTTTTGGTTGACATTTACCAGCTTAACTTGTGGTTGTATTAGTAGCCAATTTTGATCGTAATTTTCATATTGGCGGGGTTAACTTGTGGTTGAATTATGTACAAACAATTTGGATGGTATTTTTATATTAACTTGTGTTATATTGGATGACATTTAGTAGTTGGTAGTATTGATATGTTTTTTTCAAAAACTATAAGGGTATAAAAAAATAAAAAATAAAAATAAAAAAACCCCTTTACCAGTGCTCTTTTAAGAAGCGTTGGCATAGGGAGGGAGGAAAAGTAAATAAAAATAAAAAAAAATTCAAATTACCCTTTACCAGAGCTTTTCCAGAAAGCGTTGGTAAATACTCTATCTCAGCGCTTTCTGGAAAAGCACTGGTAAAAGGCCTTTACCAGCGCTTTTTAAGACTTTTACCAGTGCTTTTGAGAGCTGGTAGAAGCCAGAACTGTTGTAGTGTTCAAATTCTTGATGTATTAGTTAATTGATTTAAATTTTTTAGAAAAATTGATTTGAGGAATTTTAGATAGCTGTGTTTTTCTTACATTTAGTGTAGTTTTTAAGCTATCGGTGTGTGGATGATGAGTGCACACATTTTACAGGTCGGATTGCCACTGAAGATATCGAGCTTGTTAGATGAAATCCGGCGGATGATGAGTGCACACATTTTACAGGTCGGATTGCCACTGAAGATATCGAGCTTGTTAGATGAAATCCGGCGAGAGAACATGGTGGTCGGTAATCGAGATGCTATTTCCACGTGCTTAGGAGCTAATCCTAAGCTGGATGACTTCATGGTCTTTCTTTCTCTCTCTAGCTATCTAGTTTGTTCATCAATTTCTATCTGTTATGTGAATTTCTCTGTCGTTTTTTGGTTCTCTCTGTGCAGTTCGAATATCTGAATACTTTCTCTCTCTAGGAAACCTATCGTGATATGTTGGTGAAGTACAAATCGGATCTCTCAAGGCCTTTCGATGAAAGCCAACATGTTCTTCAACAACATCGAAAGATTATTTCGAAAGTTCCTCTTCGCCATCCACATCCATTTCACGGCCTTTAGGTTCTTTCTCTCCTTTCTCTCTAATGTTATTTGTGACTGTATCTCTTCCCTCTCTCTAGTGTTGTCTGTGATTGTATATCCTAACTTAAATAGGTGTGGTGAGAGTTTTAGAAAGAGGTGTAAAAGGAAGAAGATTCAGGGGTATTTTTGTAATCTTACAATAATATTATAAGTTTTAAATTTAACAATTAAATTATAAGGGCAGTTTTGTCATTTTATACCAATTTGGGGGCAATTTGATAACATTATTTAGTTTAGGGGTTTTTTTAATTTTAGTGGAGGTTTTTTACATCAATTTGATAGTATAGGGGGGTTTTATGATTTTAACCCTATATATATATATATATATATGATCGATTTTCTATACATTGTGTGGGTTTTTTTGGTTTTGTACTCTATGTATATGGCATTGTGTGCCTATATATATCAAATTTCTTTGGGTCTTGCAATAATGGGTTTCTAAATTTTGGGTTGTAAATTTGTAATAATGGGTTTCTAAATTTTGGGTTGTAATAATGGATTTCTTTGTGGTCATGGACCGTGATGGTGGTGGGGGCTGCTATGGGTGGTAGTGGTGGCGATGTCGCTGCTTTCTTTTTCCCTCTGCTCTTCCACACACATATATGTATATGGGTAATAGTGTATATATATAAGAGCAAATTTGACTTTTCATGAGTTCTGATATTTTACAATAAAATGAATTAAATATTGAAGGGCAATCTCATCTTTTATAACGTTTTAAGGGCTTGTTTGGATCAAAATAATCACAAGGGGTGTCTTTGTCCAAAAAATAATTAAGTTGTATATGACTGTCAATATATTAAACCTCAGAAGGTGTCGTTTTAATTAACCCAAACACTAAATTGTCCTCATGTATAATTGAAAAATACTTTAAAAAAATTTGCATATCACCTATAAGACGCAACATGCAATGACGACAGTTGTGTAGAGATTCCGAAGATGCTAAAGAAGAAGAATAATACACAGGTATTGTTCTTCTTTAGAGACTTTCAATTTAGTGTTCGAGATCAAGTCCATCAACCCTCGACCAAAAATCTAGTCAAACCTTCTTCAACCTTGAAGACTTACAGAAAAGCTCAACCGCCATATCAAGATCAAGGTATTTTTTTGAAAATTAATTATTTGTTTGCATTTTCTTTCCTAGATTTTTGGACACGAAATTTATGTGTACAAATTTCTCGTACGCCCAATGGGACACCTCTTGGTAACAATACTCATCTGATAAATCTTTTAGTACGTTGGGGGGATTCTATTTAAAATTTAGTAAAAGTTTGTATGCACAATTTTTTTGTTTTTTAAAAAAAAAAAAATTAACCCCACTAACTAATCAAATTATTCCAATTTTTTTTAAAAAAATAAATGAAAATAGCGCTTGAAGCACAGGTGTGGCCCATCTTTCTCAGAATTGTAATAATTGAATTAATTTTGTTATTATATGAACTTGTCTTTAGATGTTGCTGCATAAAGGCCAGCATGATGGAACAGGTACCACCAAACAAGAGAGATTGGTGGTCCACAACATTTGTATGTAGTTCTTGGCTTTCACTGCTTTAAGTATGAGAGCCTTGTAGCTGTCAATTTCAATGCCCTTCAATTTGAACCAACTTTTAGTTGATATATTCAAGGCTCCATAATTAATACTTGGGCGAAGTGGCCAACATCATTAATCATGTTAACTATAGGCTTAACATACACATATGGTTTGGGCAGGTCCATCTAGGTTGGGCCTAAAAAATGTTGATACCCTTAGCCCATGGTGAGCCCATCATGACATGCAACAATCAGAAAATCATTGCACGTTCAAACTTGATGAGGTGGGTCATATGTAAAGTAGGCCCATCCATCAGCCTCTATTACTAAGATGCATGTTTGATGGTGGTTGGGCTTTGCCTTTAGCTTTCTCAAGGTATACAGAGGTTGGGCTATATTAACCCCACCAATTATTAATGAGTAACACTTGTAGCATAATTATATAACAATATTCATAAATACACTACTTGAAAATTGTTTTGGCATCAAATAAACTTCTAAGAAATAAAAGCAAATTATCTTGAGAAATCAGAGATGTGGGTTTCTGTTTTGCATTCACATAGAACAACTCAAGAAAATCGAAATTTCAAAAATCATTTATAAAATTCTATACATGTGGGAATAGTTAACAAATATTGAAATGTGTGGATAAACCTGAGATTGATTCAATATAATGAAAATATCGTAACAATTCAAGAAATTGAGAAAAATAGGAGAAATTTGTAGCCATGTATACATAATTCTTCTTTTTTAACCCTACCAAATCATTGGCATTAGACTCCACTTAATAGAAGAAGAATATGTAGTCTGAAAAAGAAAGAATATATTAGAACATGCAGCTTTTGAAATGCTAAATAATGTTGGGCTCCACAAACATAAAGTGGCCCATAAATGAGACTCAAAATGGGATACATGGGCCTACTCCTATGACCATGCAAGCCCATTGAAAGCTTTGGGCCCATATTCATTGGTAGATAGATGTCTTTGATTTAAACCTAATGGGTAATCAAGTTGCTAAAAATGGGGGTTTTATAATGGGGTGTTTCTTCCTTTTGGTTGAAGAAGAAAGCTGAATTGGGCAATCAAATAAAGAGAAGTGTGATTGGGTCAAGTACAACAAAAAAAAAAATAACCAGCCAGCTATCAAAGGCCATTCAAGTAAATTAAGGAAAAACCAGCTATTTATTAGTATACAACTGTTGTGCTAATTACGGTCCATACTTGTAAAGTTATTGACAGTTAAGTTGGTTTCACCAAATCTGATTCAATTGCTTATTTTCTGAGCTGTTTACTGCAGTTAAGCCCCATTTATACGTATAGATATTCTAAATGCTAAGTATAGTAGATTGGGCTCTTATCATGTAGGTGAAGAATTAAAGACCAAGAGAAGAGGTAGGGGAGGGGGGTATTTCTCCTTTGGGACCTTGATAAAATTCAAGTACGTCAACCCTAGGTTAGAATGAGTACTCTAGAAATCACGATTCATGGAGCGGAACTTGATTTAGTTTTTTGAGAAGTGAAATTTATAAAACTGTACAACAACCTGCTTGGTTGATTGTTTGTGAGAACTCGTTTTTGAAAACTAAATTAAAAATATATATATATATATATTTATTTATTTTGTGAGAAATGTCTTTTATAATTATCTGAAAATAGTTTTGAATCGTTCAAAACTGTTTACTTTGTAACAATCCAAATAAGGTTAAGTCATTTAATAATCTCAAAATTTTCCGAACCAATCCAATAATCATATCTCCTTGGAAGAACCTTGAAGGAATTTTTCTGAACTAACCTAATATTCTTACTTCAGGACAGGTGAGATAGCCGTGTTACCAAATAAGAGAAGAAAAATAAATTCAAGTATATCCTGCCTACAGTGCCAGTACCATGAACTGCTTGATCCTCTCTGTTTATCACAATCCAAACCATTGGGGGGTCCCATTCTTCACATTAACAAACTTATGTGGATGCCAATGCAACAACCTCCCTGTCTTTTGCTTCATTTGGTAGGCCAACAAAATGACACACCCCAGAAAGCCCACTTACATAAAAACTAGAGAACCAAACAAAACAGGGAATCAGATGATGTATGTAGGTTAGATTATCACATGCTGTCTTTTTTGTTGTTAAACTGATGGCTTTTATATGCTCAGATCCTACTGACACTAAAACGCTGTATCTATCTATCTCATTGACACTTCTCACATGCACCTGACACTGCCACTACCACTAAACAATACTAGTACAATACAACATCTAACAATAATAGCATCCAAATATTAGTTTACTTTCTTCTTTTTTCAAATAAAAAAGGAAATTCAAAAAAGGGAGGCAAAAAAAACACACAGATTCTTCAAGAGCTATTCTCATTACACAACATTTCTACAAACATTCTTACAACAAAGATTCGCTCTCTCTCACTCTTGAGCTACAAACCCACTCCACCCGCCTTCTGAATTAGAAAACGGCACACTCTCAAGATATATATAATATATATAACATATAATATAATATAGACAGAGAATTAACTCTGTAGCTGAAAAACAGCAAAAACCCTAAGAACTCAAAACCCTAAACTCAATTAGAGTGGTTCTTGCATTGTGACAACTATTGGGCTTGTGACATCATGTTTCCCATCGGACCACACTAGAGAACCACTCTTCATACTTGAACTCCCAGGTGATAGCTTCACTGCCACAGCTTGCACCCTTACCAGAAAGCTCAGCTTCTGACCCACCCTCCGGAACGCTAGCTTCTCCGGCTGCACCGTCACCAATGTTCCGGTTGGCGGCCTGACAGAGACCTGATATACTGCATTAGGATCCCCAACATTGGTCACCGTCCTAATGAAATGAGTGGACATCTTGTGCTTGCCATATTGTTGGAACACTGCAGACAGAGAAGGGTAATTCAGGTTGCCGATATGGCCTGCCCTCTTAGCTCCTCTGCAATCGGAGTTCTTACGGGTGATCGTCTGAATGTTCTTGGTGGTATAATTTGAATTACAGAGGAAGTCCACATAATCATAGGAATTTAAATCATAGACCAGTCCTGGGTCCATGGCCTTTTGTGGGTGGACATAGCCTGCACCAAAATCCATCACTGTTGATGAATTTCCGGTGGCTTCATCGATCATAGTTTCACCACGATTATCTTTTGTGTAAGCAGTTGTCAATAAAGCCGACCTTATTGCCGCCGGACTCCATTCCGGGTGAGCAGCCTTAAGCAAGGCGGCGAGTCCGGAAATGTGAGGACACGCCATTGAAGTGCCGGAGAGAATGTTGAATTCTGTCCGGCGCTTATCAGATGCAATGCCGGAGGGCCCGACACGGTCCGGCCAGGCCGCCAATATGTTCAATCCCGGAGCAATTATGTCCGGCTTCAAAATTTCTGGCGTTTCCGGATTGGGTCCACGAGCCGAAAATGAGGCCACAACAGGGGCTGGTCTGACACGGAGCCGAGTGCCCTTGAAAACGATCGTTGCCGTGGGCAGTGATCGGGATTTCGAAGCCGCTGTGATGTATTTTCTTATTTCGTCACCGCCGGAAGCTCCCACGGCGGTGGCGGGCAGAACGTGGCAATCGGCGACTAAACCTTCGCCGTCGAACACTCCGTTAGCCAAAATCATTGCAATTCCACCGGCTTTTTTCACTACATCACCTTTGGCAGCTCTGGAATTGATTCCTCTGTCACACAACACAATCTTTCCTTTTACAACATTTGGGTCTAATGAACCTTCTAGACATAGTGATGATGAATAACCGTCACCCCCTTCACTTCCGGCGTAAATTAGCGGATATTGACGGCCCGAAGCTAACGCCGGCCCACCGTATATGCTGACGCCGGATATTGTTCTGCCATTTCCGAGCTTGACGTTGGCAGGGAAGTCCCGATCAATTGTTCCGGCGCCGACGGTGGTGACCCAGGGCGCTACGTTCGTGACGGTGAGGCCGCCCGGGCCGCCATTTCCTGCGGAGGCGGAGACAAAGACTCCGTGGTCGGCGGCTCCAAAAGCTCCGATGGCAATGGCGTCGAGATAGTAGGGGACGACGACGCCACCGACGCTGAGGGAGACGACATCTGCTCCGTCGGCAACGGCGGCGTCGAACGCCGCCAGGATGTCGGAGTCGTAGCATCCGGAGTTCCAGCAGACCTTGTAGGCAGCGAGTCTCGCCTTGGGAGCCATCCCGGCGGCGATTCCTCGGGCGTAGCCAAGAGTAGACGCCGGAAACACATACCTGCCGGCGGCAATCGACGCTGTGTGCGTGCCGTGGCCGTCTGAGTCCCTCGGCGACCGGTACTCTGACGTCTCATTCATCTTCCCGTTGGTGGCTTCATATCCGTTACAGAAAAACCTCGCTCCGATCAATTTCCTGTTACAAGAAGTCGCCGGAAAGTCCCTTCCGGCGACGCATTGTCCCTTCCACTTCGTCGGCACTGGAAGGAGGCCTCGATCGTTGAAGCTTTGCCTCTCGGGCCAGATCCCCGTATCGATGACTCCGATTACCAGATCCGACCCGAAATCGGACTCCTTCAACAATCCGGCACTGTCAGTGGTCTTCAACCCTAGAAACTCCGGCGATCGAGTGGTTTGGAGTTGTCGGACCTGCTCCGGTATGACAGCGATGATGCCAGAGAAAGATTCGAGCGTCTGTACCTCCGATGTGGAGAGCTTCGCAGAGAAGCCATGGAAGACGGTCTCGTAGGTGTGAATGATGCGACTGGCTTCGCCGGAATCTGAGGAGCCTTCACCGGCGGTGGTGGTGGAAGAGAGAGATCTGAGAGATGAATCGTACCAGTGCTTATGAGTTGGGAAAATAGAGGGCTTAGCATCGTGTTGAACACGAACTATGAAGGTCTTGTGATCAGCAGAAGCTGAACTCAAAACTATATAGAAGATAGATAGAAGATAAAGAGAGAGAGCAGAAGTTGGAGAAATCGCCATTATTGTGAAAGCTTTGAGCTTGCTCTGCTTAGTTATATATACACAATTACACACATGTATGTATCAGTATACTGGCATGTGGCTGTGTGCAACCCTCTAAGAGAGAGATGGGGGTTTTATTGTTGCTGAGGTGGTTCTGTGGATACATAAGGTTGAGCTAAGTGGTGAATTCCCTGTTGCCTATTTATGTGTATGCGAGTGCGTGTCTATATATATATATAAGTATGATGTAAACAAATTAAGAGTAGAAAAATGTGACAAATTCCTCTCAAGGTGTTCCTTTCTTGTGTTTGGATACGGGTGAGGAGTGGGGGGACTGTTATGGCAAAGGAATTGACTTGAGGGGTCTCTCATTGTATGAGTTAAATTTGATTGGATTGGATTACAACTCATCCCTTTGTGATTTTTTATTGGATCACAATTTATTCCCTTAGATATTAGTCCATTAATAAATTTCTATTTTTTTAATTTAAACAATTCCTTTCATCATTATTAATGATGTATTCAATATGGAGGAAGGAAGAAGGGTGGAAAGAAAGTAGGAAGAACTTTGTTAGTAAAAATTATACGAAGAAGGAAGAAGGGTGAATAGAAAGGTACACTATTATAAAAAATTTAAATCATATATTATCCTAAATTATATATGTGGAGGGAAAAAACTCCCTCCAATAAAAAGCGCACACGTCATCACTACCCATATCTACATTCCAATGACATATAAGGCCCATCATGCTCAAGCCCAAGTTGAGGGTATTTATAACCCAAGACCATTGTTATTTGTCCTCCAACTTCCATCAAGGCCGAATCAAGAAGTCATCAGCCCAGCTTATGAGTATTTAACATCCGGCCTGTTACTCAAGCCCAGCCGGATCAAAATATATTCGGCCCAAGAATGCACAAGTCCTACCATTTGAAGGATTTACTGTAGAAAGAAAATTCTGATAGGAAGTTCTGTACAAGGCAAGTTTTGTGTATGGAAAATTCGATAATGGAAAAAACTCTATTAGAAAAGAATGGTTATATAGAAAGAATTGAAGGGCAAGCAACGCGAGTCCTACCATAATCTTGCAATTTTTTGTATATAAATAGAGGCTAAGACCTCCAATAAAGGATCAAGCAATTCTACGCTTCTCTACACACTGTTCTTATTTATTTTTATTGTTTTTGAGTGAGTTGTTTTATTTTTCTCAATCATTATTGGTTGGGCGAAATTTTGCACCTACACTTTGGCGCCGTCTGTGGGAAGCGTATAGAAATATACTCTCACTTGTTCTTCAAATTAAATCCTTTAGTCATGTCTGGAATGTCAAACGGAGAGTCAGCAATGAATCAACAGATCGAATTGATGCAAAAGATGCGAGAAGAGTTCTTGCACCAATTTGAGACACTCCGGCAAGCAAACGATACGAGTGTCGCCCAGATAGCTGCGCTTCAGCAGCAGACTCATACGCTGCACACGGCCATGGCCAGGCTAACGCCACAACCACCACCAGGCGATGCTGCGGCACCACCCCCCACCCAGAATTTACCTCCGGTTCACGAGCCTCCAGCCAAAGAGACACCACCCAACGGGGCTCGACCTAGTGAGGTTCAGCAAAAGCAAGGGACGAGGTCCGAGGCGGTTGCTTCGGATAATCTCCCGCATCGCACACAGGACGAACAGGCCGAGTCCAGCCATAGGCTTACGGTATGGTCCAATGGCGTTCCAGATGGCACACGTGTACAAGATGCCTTCGACGAAAAAAAGCTCTTGAGAGTCCAGACACCAGCCGAGATGGCTAGAGAGCACAAGAACTCCTTGGTCAAGACCCCCTTTACTGACGAGGTGTACCTTGTGGAGAGGCCGAAGAAGTTCACTATGCCATCCTTCACCCAGTTCGATGGGGCAGGAGACCCCTCTCGGCATCTCGATCATTATGCGCAAAAGATGGCACTGGATGATCATAACGATCCGTGGATGTGTAAGGTTTTTCCTACCAGTTTAACCGGAGCAGCGTTAGAATGGTTCAGGAATAGGCCACACAAGTCTATCCCTGACTATGAGACCTTGTGCACTATGTTCTTAGCCCAGTATTGCGAAAATAAGAAGCAGAAGAAAAGTATTGCCAGCCTTTTCACCATAAAGCAAAGGAAGGGAGAAACTTTGCAAGATTTTTTATCCAGGTTTAACATGGAGGCCTCGGAGATAGCAGATTGCCATCCTGCCACGGCAATCGAAACATTTAAGTTGGCAATGATCCAGGGAACCAAGTTTCACACATCCTTGGTCAAATATTCCCCCCCGGATATGCAGACTTTGAACGCTAGGGCACAAATCTACATTCGGTTGGAGGAAAACGTAGCTCACCGTGCACAGCACGCTACCCTCGTCACAGTGGAAAACAAGTCTCGAGAGAAAGCTGCGAGCACAAGGATGCAGAAGGTTCTTCATACCGCCACACAAGTCACCCAAGCGTCTGAGAAAAGGCGAAGGACAGAGGACAGGCTTACCCCTCTCCGTACTACCTTGGCACGCCTATTCCAAGAGAATAAGACGAGGTTCGCGACTCCTCAGCCCATGAAACAACCCTTGGAGCAGAGGGACAAAAGCAAACATTGTGCCTACCATAGAGATTATGGGCATACCACCAATGACTGCAGGTCCCTACAGCGACAGGTAGAAAGCATGATAGCGAGAGGAGAATTGGTGGAGTATCTCGCCACGAAGGAGCACGTAAAACCTCGGGAGGTTAACCCTCGACGGGTAGAGGGCGGTCAGGTAAAGGTTATCCATGCTATACACGGAAGGTCAGAGGATGATGAAGAGTCTGAAGAGTTGTACAGATCCAGGCTGAGAGAGGCTCATAAGTTACGAAGATTGTCTTCGGTAAACACGGTTGCACCAGGCAGCATCAACATTAGATTCGGTAACAATGATCTTTCTAGAGTCCAGCGCCCGCATGAGGACCCCTTGGTCATCAGCCTCCTGGTAGCGAATTACATGATCAGGAGAGTGCTGATAGATCCGGGAAGTAGCGCCAACATCATTACAAAAACAGCTTTTGATCAGTTGGGGGTTTCACCATCGTCCATCAGGCCAACTTCCGGCCCCCTAATGGGATTTGACGGTACTAAGGTGAATCCGCTTGGGGTGATCGATCTATCCGTTACTGCAGCAAAAAGAACTCTGAAGGAAAACTTCTTCGTGACAGAGATTCATCCATCTTATAACCTCATTATGGGGAGAGGTTGGATCCATCGTATGAACGGAGTCCCCTCTACACTTCATCAAGTAATGAGGTGTTTATCCCCGGATGGCAGGGAGGTAATCGACCTCTGGGGAGACCAGGTTGCTGCCAAAGAATGTTACATGCTAACGTTACACGAAGCAAAGAACGCGTCGAAATCACCTCAGTCAGAGGCGAATCCCAAAGACGCAATCAAATAGCAGTTACAGTGTCCTCTGCCCAAGTATCTCAAGGCAGAGGAAGAAGCCGAAGCTGAAGCACCTGCCGAGGAGTCCCTCGAAGCTATAGAGGTAGTCCTCGGAGACCCTCAGAAGATCACCTACATTGGCTCATCTTGCACAGCCGAAGAGAAGGAAGCATTGATCAGGGTCATTCGGTGTAATTCGGATGTCTTTGCCTGGGATCACTCGGACATGGTGGGGATCAATTCTACAGTCTCATGCCATAGTCTGAGGGTTAACCCAGAGTTCAGGCCAGTCAAGCAAAGGCACCGACGGTTCGCACCTGAACGGAATCGCATAATAGCCGAGGAAGTAAATAAACTATTACAAGTAGGATTCATTCGAGAGGTGCAATACCCATAATGGCTCTCAAATGTAGTAGTCGTTCAAAAGAAGAATGGGAAATGGAGGGTATGCGTAGATTATACCAACCTTAACAAAGCTTGCCCAAAAGATAGCTTTCCTCTGCCCAAGATTGATTAAATGGTGGATGCTACGACGGGTTATGAAAGGTTCACATTCCTCGATGCATACTCCGGCTATAATTAGATTCCCATGAATCCTGAAGATGAGGAGAAAACCGCTTTCATCACAGAAACAGGCACTTACTGCTACAGAGTGATGCCCTTCGGTCTAAAGAATGCCGGAGCCACCTACCAGCGACTTGTCAATAAAATTTTCAATAATCTGCTGGGAAATACAGTTAAAGCCTATATCGATGATATGGTGGTCAAAAGTATACGGAAAGAGGACCACCCGAAGCACCTCCAGGAGGTCTTTGATATTCTCAAGAGATACAATATGAAGCTGAACCCCACCAAGTGCTCCTTTGCCGTCTCGTCAGGACAGTTCCTTGGGCACGTCGTAAATAAAAGAGGAATAGAAGTAAGCCCAGCTCAGGCAAAGGCACTCATACAGAACCAGGAGCCGAAAACCCGCAGGGAAGTGCAAGTTCTAACCGGCCGAATTGCGGCTCTCAGCCGGTTCATATCCCGATTATCTGATAAGTATAAACCTTTCTTTGATGCTATTTGATCCAAAAACAAAGATATATGGGGACCTCAGCAGCAGGAAGCTCTCAATCAATTGAAAAGCTACATGACAAAACCCCCAATCCTTTCTGCTCCAACGCCCGGAGACACTCTCATCCTGTACCTGGCAGTATCAGCTGTAGCAACAAGTGTAGTGTTGATCAAAGAAGGAGGCAAGGTTCAACACCCAATCTTTTACACAAGCAAAACGATGACGGATGCCGAGACACGGTACAGCAAGACAAAAAAGGTAATCCTGGCGTTAATTTATGCCAAGAGGAAACTTCGACATTACTTCGAGTCTCACAGCATAGTGGTACTTACAAATCACCCTATAATTTCGCTTTGTGGTAGGCGATTGGGTTTTGAAGCAGGAGACAGCTCATGTAAAGAAACTGGAACCTAATTGGACCAGACCCTACAGAGTTACCGAAGTAGTGGGGAAAGGAGCATATCGTTTGGCCGAAGCTGGCGGACGTCCCATTGCGCGTCCTTGGAACGCAATACACCTGAAAAGGTATTTCCATTAGTTAAGATTGTCAATTTTGCTACACGTTCTTCACAAATAAGGCTGAATATGTCCACAGTCAGCCAAACTTTTCTATATTTTTGTTTCTTTTTATAAAAATGGGGGGGCCATACGACTCTATGATTACGCAACTTTTATGCGCATGTGAGCACTATGCGTTAGAAGCAAGTTGCTAAAAAGCATTTATGCGTTAGAAGCAAGCTGCTAAAA